CAGCAGGAGCTTGTTTCTCCCTGCTGGGGGTTGGGTCTGGGCACCTAGTTCATGTAGATGTCTAACTAAATACAAACGAACCCAGGCCAGCTGTCTGGGTCAGCGCAGACAGCACATCCTCAGATGTGTGATCCATACATTTTATTCATAATTTAAGGAAGGCTCTATGAGAAGCGTAAAAAGAGAAGAAAGAAATTGCAATAGAGGAAGAAAGGAAAAGGCAAGGCAAATATGGAAAAAAAACCCAGAAGGCAGGGAAAATTACAATACTGGAAGCAAGATGTGAATGCAGAAGGAAATTAGGATAAATGGCCAACCACAAGTAGGAAATACTACACAGGCTTCAAGTTGCTGGTGTACAGGATTGCTAGAGAGACGCAGAAAACCGTGAATCTTTTAAAAGTATTAGTACTTGTACATAAATGTGATGTCCCAACTAATGGGTCTTTCATTGCTTCCCTGAGACAACATCAAGCACTTTACCTACATTTTCCTTTTCTTCGGCATACCCCAGTATTTCTAGCCGAAATTCTTTTTGACAACTTTGCCTTCAGAATCAGAAAGTTTCTCCATTATCCACTTGCTTAATTTTCAAAGAAGTCTACATCTTCAGTTATGTTTTTTCATACACTTGGGTAAAGATCCCCTCGGGTATACTTTGTTCTCGAAATCCCATCGTTTCTTGACAAAGACAATGCGGCAAAAATAGCTTTGACCACTACCATGCTGACCAATAGCACCTCATTGTCTGCCTGCACTCTGCCATCTACCTGCGTCTAACTGCCGCCTTTTGTTACGTACTTAGGACATGTGCTCTTTGTTCTGTTTGTACAGCATCTTGCAAAATGGCATCCTAGCCTGTGACTGGGGCTCCTGTGCACTAAGATAATACAGGTAATAAACACCACCGTTCTGTTTAACGTTGCTAACGCTGCATGTGAACCACGTTGTACCTGTAAGCTTTTTAAGTGCAAAAGTACGGTGCTGCACACGGGTACTAGGTAACACCACTCTCTCCTGGTTTTGTATCGGTACCCGTCACGTTCTCTGCCCGCCTCAGGCTAGCAGGCTGGTTTAGACCAAGGTTTCTAAGCACAACCTCGTGTTTAGTTTTTCCCCCCGTTTCTTTCCTACTGTAAAGCACGGCCTGGAGCAATTTCTTTGGGAAGGAGAACAGGCAACCCAGACGCTGTGGCAAGCAATACCGGGTGGTAACAGAAAAGCAGTTGTCCAGCGGAGAGCCGCGCAGGCCAGTTTAAATCGCTCGCACCCCCGGTCAGCCCGTTTTGCCCAGCAC